GTTCTGTTTACATTCTCGAGCCGATAACAACAAAAAAAAAAATAACACCGCGATAACGTTGATGCGAATATTTTATAATTCTCGCTTAATTTTTTAGCATCATAATTAAACTTGTTTTCGAACATTTTCGATAAAATTATGTAACTTATGTTTGTTAAACGATTTTGTCGACTTAAGATGCAAATCTAGCAATCTGTTTTTATTGTGAATCGTAGATTTTTGGGAATTTTCCTGTATGTTTTCGTTTTAATTAGCTCAGTGTCTGTGAATTATGTTGAAATTCCTATTTGAATTGAACTATACTTTTTAAGTAATCGAAATATTTTGTATATATTTTTATCATTACGAACGAATCTGTAACTCATTTCTTACTCGTTGACAGAAAAAATATTTGGTCGAGTGAACGTGTAAGGGTTAGTCATGAGAACAAGGCAACGGAAGTTCGCTCGGTTTAATGTAGGTAACCTTGGGGGCTCACAATGCCTTAGTTATTTTAATGTAATCAACAAAAAATGGTACAACAGACCGCGCGCCCGTTACATAAGCACGTAACATGATATCAAGTTTAACTTCCTGTTGTCTTGATATTTGATACCTCGAGCAATTCAGTGGAACTTTCTAACAGTTACATGGATTACTCATAACAGTGTTATTTAAAAAACATTTTTGCAAAGCAGATGTAGCAATGAGTTGACATAATTTCGTAACTTCATAAAACAATATTTACGTCTTGCAAACATTTATTTTTGATTTGTAGGCTTTTACGTTACAAGGACTTTTTTGGTACACACTTTATTTCCATTACATGTCTGTATAAATATAAGTCTAAAATATCCATGAAAGTAAGAAAAAACAAAGTATCTTATGTGTTCTTCCAAAGTATCCTCTATGATACATCTATGCCAAATTTCACCAAGATGCGTTCAGCAGTTTAGGCTATAAACTATAACAAACATCCATCCATCTTACTAATTTTTTAAATGTGAAAGTTTAGATGGATGGTTGGATGTTTCTTAGAGTTTGTAACTTATACGACTGAACCGATTTCGATGAAATTTGGTATAGATGTAGTGGATAGTCTGGAAAAACACATAGGCTACTCACCAAAGGACGGAGTCGCGGGCGAAAGCTAGTCTTACATAAATACGCAATTTATAAAATTAGTAAGTAGTAAGATTCAATTTATATTCACATACGAAAAAGTAAAATATTCTGTGCGACTGCGCATTTGTTTTTCAAATACAATGTTATAAAAGTGCTTGCTTGCGAGACAAACGTTTTTTTCTTCGAATCGATAGGATAGCGAATGCAACATGGCGAACTTGGCCTTGAACACGGAATAAAAATAGCGATGTTGTGTGTCGACTCGACTTTATATCAAAATTGCGGAGGGAGCGCGCGCCTCTGTAAACTGACGAATTATTTTATTTAACTCGGCGCCCGCGCAGCTTTGTTTACAACATTAAGGATAGGACATTTTGGATACATGAATATCTTACTTAGGAAATATCTCGTCTTTTATTTTATATGCCGTAATTTTTATTTATTATTTTTATATATTAAATTCAATACAGTACTGCTATTCCGAAATAACACATTTTCATCCGTGTAGTACTTAGATAAGTAACGAATAGTGTCACAGTTGTTAACTATGGTAAACATTGGTTGTTACTTAAGCGTTAAGAGCTATTGCGGATTGTAATTTGACGGACTTAAGATGTTTTATTAACATTTGCTAGAAACAAACACAACGTAGAAAATTTGAATGCATACTTGTGTCTTCATACTGGAGATGCAAAAAGTGTCGGATTTAGAAATACTTTCTTATTTGATTGATTGATTAAAATAAACAAAAAATTGAGACATAACGTTTGGTGGATACAATAACATTCATGAAAGGTTATCTAGAAGATAAACAACGAAAAGCATTTAGAGCGTACTCACACCTTTAACTAATCTATCGCACAACTGTTTAGTCGCGCCTTGATTCCTGTTAGTAGTGCGGACACTACACGATTTTTAGTTATGCAATTAAACAGTTGAATTGACAGCGAAACAATCGACAATCGCATAACAGTTGCGCGGTAATTTACTCGAAGGTGTGCGCCCAATCTTATAATACTTGTATTAACACAGTGGCCAACGTTTGTGCACAATTCAAAGCTATGTGTTTGATAAATTGTCAATGTTTATGTATGTATGTTTATGAAATCGTCTGACGTCAACTGACAATGAAACATATAAAAACAAAACCTCATAAATGTTGCGACCTTCTGCAGCAGAGTTTTAAGAACAATATTTACAGAAGCAAAGCAAATCTAAATGAAACCTTTAAAACGTATATTTAAATATATACATTGACACATTGCAGTTACACGAGTAAATTCTATTTTAAACATTTAACAAATCATTAGAGCGGGCGCACACTTCACTAAACTATCGCACGACCGTTGTGCGATTGTCGATTGTTTCGTAACCAATTCAACTTTACGTGCACAACTAAAAATCGAGTAGTGTGCGCACCACCATATTAGCACATAGGAATCAAAGCTCGACTAAACAGATGGGCGATAGTTCAGTCAAAGTTGTGCGCGCTCTTTATATATGCAGAGATATCGTAAATTATATAAACTAAGAAGCAGTGGTCAAGTTAGCAAATCTGTATCTCGTAAATTTACGTCTTGAATGTATCGCTTTATTGTAAGCAAGCGTACAGATGCTTAAGTTTAGTTAAGATAATCTGTACGTCCATTGTGGATTGAAAGTGGCGGTGGGAGTCGCGCGGGAACCGGTCCGGCGCTTTCTCATTGAGCTCAGAGCATTCAGCCCACGTCGGACGAGGGTGCAGCCGGCAAATAGAACTAGAATATCGTGATTGGGGGTCAACACTAACGCTTAAGGCTAGAAGGTATAAATTATCAGTTAAAGTTTTCTAAAGCATTACTTAATTATAAATCAAAATAATCGTCAATTCTTTTAACAAATATTTGTTGTTTTTTTAACTTAGATTTTGCAATAGCAGCCAAATTTGTCGCATGTGTGACATAAAGGTAAGTCGTGCATTCAACAAAATGTATGTCGTCAAGGTGCCTTTGTGGCGCCATTTGAATACAGAAGGAACGTGCTTCGAAATTTCCTATGATACGCCTACACAATCGTCAGGTATGCGTTGATGTTGACGCCATGTCAATACATGGCTTGAATTTGCAGCCATACTTGTATTGGACACGCAAATCGAATACTTAAAAAGTAGTTTTTTTATGAAATCAAATATAGGTATAGTAAACAGTGATGTGCATTAAAATCTTGTTTTTTTAATTCGTCAATTTGAATGTCACCTATAACAGAGTAAAAAACAATTAGTAAACATTTTATTTATCCAACACGATATACAAAAGTTCACAAGACGATTGTACTAAAATGTAATAAATGTCGAATACAAAAAAGATTCTTAT